CCAGTGACTGCATCGCCCTCGCACTCCGGGAGGGTGGATGCCTCCAGCCCTATGGCTGCAATTCACTGAGCTCATCTTCCATCAAGTTTTTCTACCCCAACTATTGTCCTAAACAACCAAAATTCCTTCCTTTATTTTCCTGCTTAATCTCTCAGCATTTCCTACGGCCTTTTCCACTCAGCTTTTTCTACGTGGCACCTAGGAAAGCAAGATCATACTGTGGGCAAGGTTCTACGCTGCAGCCGCAGGCCGCGCTCACAGACCATGCCAAGCACCGCACGTTCAGGCCAACAGCTGTGGAAGGAATGGATCCACGGTTATTTCACATGGATTCCTTAACGGCAAAACCATGTTTCATTCATGTCTCTAACACCCAGAATTCCGCACTGAAATAACCCAACACATACCTGCATATCGGATGTTTGCTCATAATTTGTGGAAATTATAATTAAATTAGAGTTGGTGGGTATGCAAAATAACCAGTTAATTTAAATCTTATCACATTATTCTCACAATCTGAGTTCCCCATCTGATTGAAGAGCTGGCTTTTGTTACAAGGGGAACGTGGAGGCACAGAAAGGCTCTCCCCCAAATGTGCACTTGAAACCATAGCTGATCTCATGCAGTGTCTTCAGGACGCACACGGTACGCGAATGTCTTCCCTGGGTTTCTTAAATATTATTAATCAAGATGAATTAGGCATTTGGTTGTTCCAACTGATTCTTCATTTGATAGGAAATTTAATTATTTTGAAAAGGCTGTTGAATTCCATAGTAGAGTCGTATTAACGTTCTTAATTTTAAATTGCCAGGCATGTATTAAATGCCAACAACGAAGTTAGTGCGAAACTGGGTGAAAGCGTCTACATTTTAAAGTAAAATTTTTCTTTCAACATCACCTCGCAGGCACTGAGCCTCTCGGAGGGCGGCTTCTCGGAGGGGGCAGAGGGGGCACGGCGATCGGCTGGATCGTGGCTCCGTGACCCGGAGCAGCACCGCCCGGCTCGGGAGGCGCGGGACCCCTCGCTGAGGCTGCCGCCCTCGGGCCGCTTCCTTTCCCTCCGCAGCCGCTCCCACCGGGCAACGCCGTCCATCCTCGCCGCCCGTGCCGCCCTGTCCCCCGGCTCCCCAGCGACCGGCCCGGCTCGTCCCCCACCCGCAGGCCACGCGCAAGAGCGGGTGCAACGTGCCTGCTGCCCAGCTCCCCGCACGGCGCCTGGGCCCGGGGGAGCCCCTGGGATGGGGGGGGGAGCCCCTGGGACGGGGGGGGGGGGGGGGGAGGAGCCCCTGGGACGGGGGGTGGGGGGGTGCGGGCTGGGCCCCGGGGAGCCCCCTGGCAGCGGGGAGCGGTCCCCCTGGTCCTGGCAGCTGCGACTCCGGCCGCTCGCTGTCCTCCTGGGGCCTCGCTTTTCTGGAGCCACCACCGCACGGCGCCAGGCCGCCTCCCTCTCCTTCCACCCGTTTTTTTTTTCTTTAAAAAATACTTTGACAGATTTCAGAGAGGAAGGAGGGGGGGGACATCCGAGGTGCGAGGGACGAGCTGCCCCGTCGAGCTGTCCACGCCGGGAGCGGCCTGGCAGGTGCGGCCCGGCCCGCAGGCGATCCCGGCGATGGACGGAACCTCGATGGACGGAACCCGGGCGGCGCGTTCCCTGCGGCCGCGGCCCTGCCTCCATCGCGCGGACACGCGGACACCCGTCCTGTCCGTCGGCCGAGGGCGAGGCGCTCACGGCATCCAGGGCGGCCTCACCCCGCGGCCTCCGCAGCCTGCAGGTCGCCCTCCGGGGTGTCGCTAAAATCCAGAGGGGCCTCCAGCCCGGACCCTGAACCATGGAGACCCAGCCTCCCAGAAAAGTAAGAGGGAGACGCTTCTGCGGCCGCGGCTGTGATTTATATCCTAGCACCTTCTAATGTATGTGCATGTGCATGTACATACACATGTACATACACATGCACATGCACATGCACATGCACATATATGTTGTTACTGATTTCAGAGAGGAAGGGAGCGGGAGATAAAACAGCCATCAGCCCCTCATCCTGGACCGGCTGCCTCCTGCGCCCCCCCCACCCCCACCCCCTACCCCGCTCACCTGGGCGACCACGTGCCCGCAGGACCCCAGGCGCGGCCGCACCCGCGGGAGGACCGAGGCCGCTGTTCCCCTCGGAGGGAGCGGGCTCTGAGGGCGCTGAGCTCCCTCGTTTTGGGGTGAAAACGTCCTCTGCGTCGGAGGGGACCGCGCAGCGCCCGCAACCACCTTCCCGGCTCCGGGGGCCCCGCGGGCTCCGCATGCGCACAGCACCGCCGCCGGGAACCGCTGCGCTGCCCAACCGCCCAGCCCAACCGCGGGCGCGCGTGTCCGCTGTGTCCCCGTGCTCAGCGCGCGTCCGCTCAGCGCTCATGTCCACGTGCTCAGCGTGTGTCCACGTGCTCAGCTTGTGTCCACGTGCTCAGCGCTCATGTCCACGTGCTCAGCGTGTGTCCACGTGCTCAGCTTGTGTCCACGTGCTCAGCGCGCGTCCGCTCAGCGCTCATGTCCACGTGCTCAGCGCGAGTCCGCTCAGCGCTCATGTCCACGTGCTCAGCGCGCGTCCGCTCAGCGTGTGTCCCCGTGCTCAGCGCGCGTCCGCTCAGCGCTCATGTCCACGTGCTCAGCGCGCGTCCGCTCAGCGTGTGTCCCCGTGCTCAGCGCGCGTCCGCTCAGCGCTCATGTCCACGTGCTCAGCGCGCGTCCGCTCAGCGTGTGTCCACGTGCTCAGCGTGTGTCCGCTCAGCGTGTGTCCACGTGCTCAGCGTGTGTCCGCTCAGCGTGTGTCCACGTGCTCAGCGTGTGTCCGCTCAGCGTGTGTCCACGTGCTCAGCGTGTGTCCGCTCAGCGTGTGTCCACGTGCTCAGCGCGCGTCCGCTCAGCGTGTGTCCCCGTGCTCAGCGCGCGTCCGCTCAGCGCTCATGTCCACGTGCTCAGCGCGCGTCCGCTCAGCGTGTGTCCACGTGCTCAGCGTGTGTCCGCTCAGCGTGTGTCCACGTGCTCAGCGTGTGTCCGCTCAGCGTGTGTCCACGTGCTCAGCGTGTGTCCGCTCAGCGTGTGTCCACGTGCTCAGCGTGTGTCCGCTCAGCGTGTGTCCACGTGCTCAGCGTGTGTCCGCTCAGCGTGTGTCCACGTGCTCAGCGTGTGTCCGCTCAGCGCTCATGTCCACGTGCTCAGCGCTCATGTCCACGTGCTCAGCGCGAGTCCGCTCAGCGCTCATGTCCACGTGCTCAGCGTGTGTCCACGTGCTCAGCGTGTGTCCACGTGCTCAGCGTGTGTCCACGTGCTCAGCGCTGGTGTGCACGTGCTCAGCGCACGCGGGGGATGTGCAGATGCGTGAGGGCGACCAAGCCTGGGCCGTTCGGAGCGCTCCGCCCACCTCCATCCCACCCGCGCCCCAAGTTGCTCAGTAACCCGTGTCTCCAAAGCAGAGACCTGTGAGCCTGCGGAACGCATCCCCCAGGTCCCGCCCACAGCGCAGCTGTCCTGGGGCTGAATGTGGGTTTTACAGCCCGAGACTCATGAAGGACGAAGTGCCGTAGGAACAACTCCGCCCGAGTGTAAAAGGCCACTCACGGGTCAGAGCAGGCCCACGGCCCAGACCTCACCTCCACTCAGGAACCACTTGGCTCTTGCCCGGCCGGGTGGCTCAGTGGTTGAGCGTCGGCTCGGTTCCGGTCAAGGGCACGCGCCCGGGCTGTGGGCTCCATCCCTAGTTTGGAGGCAGCCGATCAATGATTCTCTCTCAGCATTTGTTTCTCTCTCTCCCGCTTCCTTGCTCTGAAATAAAATATGTGCATTAAAAAGAAAAAAAAAAACTTTTCTCAAGAGAACAAACTGGAAGCCAAGTAGTCACTTACGGTGCCCACACCACGGACACGCTAAGCTCTCGATCAAACGTGGAGGTTTAGTAGTTTCTTAGTCAATTTAAAGTGGATAAAAAAGGAGTTCCATGGCAAAAATCATTTAAATTTGACTATCACCCCCACTTTAAATTTTGGTAATAAATGTAGTTCCTTTCATTCGCTTTCCTCATTTAAATGGCACATATCTGTAACTCCCAAGATACCGTTAAAAACACTACCGAAAACGATACATATGAACCCACAGATGAAAAGCCTGGAAGTACGTGGCCTATCAGGCACTTACTAGATCAGCGGTTCCCAACCTTCTGGCCCTTTAACACGGCTCCTCATGCTGTGACCCAACCATAACATTATTTTCGTGGCGACTGCATCACTGTCATGTGGCTACTGCGATGAATCGTGTAAATACCTGATCTGCAGGATGGTCTGAGGCGACCCCTGTGAGAGGGTCGTTCGACCGCCAAAGGGTCGCGACCCACAGGTTGAGGACCGCTGGCCTAGACAGCCCTCTTTACACACCTGTTGTATGGCCTCAATTTTCCCTTATTACCGCAGTGTATTGATCCAAAGTCCACGCTGGGGTCCATGGACACCCAAAGGCGCCAGGGAACAGGTCAGGATATGGCATTTCAAAATCCGTAACCCAAATCTTGATTTTAAGTCGGTCATTTCCCCTTTTTACTTCTACAGCCAATGTAACTGGAGTAACCAGTTGAGTATCAAATCTGGGTGAATAAGAAAAATCCAGTCCAATCACATTAAGGCTAACGTGATTAAACTTATTCTTCATGTTTTTATACTGACCAGCCTCTGTAATTGTGATCACTGTAATGCTGTCACACACCCCGCTGGTCACAAAGAATCTTATGGACGGGCTAGCTTTACCTAAGACTCAGGTCCCAGGCCGCTGGCAAAGTGGCCCTTCTTTCCAGCCACACGTGCGTGTCCTGCCATCGCTGTGCCCACCGCTGGCACCAGTAAGAGGGCATTGTCACAGAGTAAGGAATACAAGCCCCCCTCCCCGCCCTCCAAAAAAGGACAATGGCGTCGCTTTACGTTTGTTAGGAGTCACAAAAGTTTTTATTTAGGAAAAATATTTCCTTCAATGTTTATTAGATAATGAATTTTATTTAAATAATTTACTTTTACTTTTTACTGTGCAGACCAATCAAAAAGTATGCCTCTTTCCTTTCATAAGCAAACTCTAATTCTGCATGGCAGATAAGAAATTAACACTCTACTTCCTTCTACCTTAAAAATTACCAAGCTTTCCTCGTCATGAATTTGTTATTTCTGCATGGGTTGTTGTCATGCTGCTGGTAAAAAAAAAAAAAAAAAAAAAGCCAGTGAAAGATAGGGACACATGGGAAACAAATCAGAAACTATAATACTAGTTTATCATGAAATATATTAAACATTGTTTTGTTTAAATATTAAACAGCAAAATACTCCTATATTAAATAAATAAAACTTGAATTTGTCATGGGGAACCAGAGGCCAATACCACCAAGATGGGATAGAGTGCAAAGGGTAATCCAAAAAAAAAGGAAAAAAAGCAAACATTTAATACTGGTATCGTTTTCAGTAACAAATTAAACCAGTGATTCTCAATCCTTTCTGAAGAATGTTTAAGAAATACTGATGAGCAGGTCTCATCCCAGACTAATTAAATCAGAACCAGAACTTAGGCAGCGGTGTTTCTAAGGTCCCCAACCGAGTCCCCCCTGGGGTCCGGGCTGAGCGCTCCGGCGGAACCCTACATGCTTCTTGCTACAAGTGCCCCCCGAATAGTGAGACGGAGCTTGCTTTTACTGGTGGGACAAGACAAGGCGGGCTCCTGCTAACGGTAGCTTATGGGTAAGTCAGGTTTATTAATGGGCTATTTCATGTCCATTAAAATATTTTCCTGCGCCTCTTCTTTCCCTGCAATTCTGTATTTTTAAACTCTACGACGAAGTACAAAGTTCTTTTTTGGATACATCAGTTACACTGAAAATACATCACTGATTCGTGTATGTGAATGCTGACTGAATGCCTACTGCGTGCAAGGCACTGTGGCAGGTGCTGCTGGACAACTGAAGTCATGAGAGAATGAGTAATGATTGGCTATGAGGTGGGTGTGGTGTTTTTTGTTTTGTTTTTTAGAATTAATGGCTACAAATTAATTATATGGACCTAAACAAGGGACTGAGTTGCGGAAAAAAGAAAAAGACAAAGGAAATAAGTACATACTACGGGTCTGATTTTAAAATACATGGCAGAGCACATTCGTGCTTTTCCTAATATTCCTTACGGTATTTCCAGAAGCCTTCCAATACATATAAGGCAGATGCAAGATAGAAAAATAAGTCCTGTTTAAAGGAGATGTTCCCAATTTTAACCACACTCTATCAAGTAAATTTCACACATAAGTATAAATACTAAAAATCTTTATAGAAAGGTAGTTCATGGCCACTTGTAGTAGTCTCAATAGGTAACCTTAAAATATTACAGACTCTAGACCTTGACTATTTGACCATGGAGGAAGGTGATGCAATACATAATTTAGTCTGGAAACAGACTTCTATGCTGATAGTCTAATGTGAACAAATTTAAGTTTTCTTTTATTTCCAAGAAGGGAGGATGCAGAGAAGAAAAAGCAAGGGGGAGGAGAATCTGTTCAAACTTCATCGAAACCCTAAAATCCAGTCATTTTAAACATGGACGCTTTTCTCCTGAAAAGCCCAGTGAATTCCATATGGATAAGTACGTTCCCATTCCCTGTTGGTATGGATTTTCATGGTTATTTAGAGAATAAATAAGTGCTTTCTCATTTTTATGACAGCGTTCAACTTCAAAATGAGGTTCAGTAATGGCATCTGAACATGAGGGGGAGTTAAATGTTTACAAAAAAAAATACGTCAACCTAAGAGAGATGGGGGGGGGGGCGCGGAGGGGAATAGAGGTGGGGTGAGATGATACAAATGATCGGCAACGTTTCTAATGGTAAAAACTCTCTAGGGGAATAAAGGGTCCAAGTTACTTTAAGTAGCAAAAACGGGGAAGTTAAGACTCAAGGGAAATGCTCATTCATTGTACACGGATGCAGCACTGTCTGAAGTAGAGAAGTAGTAAAATATCTTACTTACTAAGTTAAAATATAGGCTTTATATTTCATACGATATCGAATGCGCACATAAAAATACCAGTGTTTTTATCTTGTTTCTGTTCAGACACTTCTTAAGCAACTGTGTTCTTTGGTGCCGGGAGACTTTATCGGCATTTAGGGCTAATGGAACAGAAGACTCAAAATCCCGCACCTCTAACGGGAGAACCAGAGAGGGCGGGCGCAGGAGAGCAGTCAGGAAGCGGAAATGGCACTGCAGTAGGCGAATGCACTTCTTCCCCGAGTCACACTCTGGCTCCCAGCTAGAAAGTCCTGTGGCCTTACTGGGCTTTCATGGGTTTTGAGATTTTCCTAGTGGGAAGGTATCCCAGATAGAAATAGATCCTCCTAAGTTGTAAAATCAGCGAAGTCAGTGAGAAGAACGTACATTCACTCAATGTATTCGATATAAGTAAGGAAGTCTCGAAAAGGCTAAGCAGTTCCACCAGAGCTGAAGAAGTGTTTTGATTTTTCATTCTTCCTTGTTAAGTAAAGACTAAGTATAGATACGGTCTGCATACAGGCTGACATTCTGAGTCATTCACAATAGTCACATCCCTTGGCTTGGCTTTGCAAGTTCCAGAAACTACTATTTAATACCATCCATAACACAGCATTTCCAGTGAGAGGAATTATAGAGCAATGAAAAATCAGAAGATGGCTCCTGGAGCCTCAGAACCTCTAAATATACACACATTAACAACCTCGGTTTTCTAAAGAAACACGTTTTAAGTAATGCTAGTTTAACCAATGGAGAAAAAACTTCTATCAAAATATACAATTTCCATTACAGACTAGAAGGCTAACATTAAAAAAATAGTTGTAGGCCAAAAAGTTTGCTTCTATGAATGACAGGCGTCATATGATCCCTTTGAAGACAAAAGCATCGGATGAGATCGGCCGCTCGCCTGTGACCTTCTTCCTTGGTGAGTGTTTGATGAATTCATAGACACTCAGTCTTTAGATGAAGGTGCATCCACGCTTCTTCACCCAGATTTCCAGCCGGGAGACCACGCAATTCAGAACCTCAAGTGGGATTTATGCTTTACCATGTACCTGAAAAATAATATGACAACACGTTATAATGACTAAGGATGTTAGAACTTTTAGAAGTTACATGTAAAGACACTTAAAATCAACAGCGAGAGGCTGTCTGTCTCCTGGAAGCTTGCTGCCTTCACCTTGGGGAAGAGGGGCTGCTGTCACCTTGGGGAGAGGGGCTGCTGTCACCTTGGGGAGAGGGGCTGCCTTCACCTTGGGGAAGAGGGGCTGCGGTCACCTTGGGGAGAGGGGCTGCTGTCACCTTGGGGAAGAGGGGCTGCTGTCACCTTGGGGAAGAGGGGCTGCTGTCACCTTGGGGAGAGGGGCTGCCTTCACCTTAGGGAGAGGGGCTGCTGGAGGAAGCGAGCAGCAGCGTTCATCGTACTGAGTCTGTAAGACGGCCGGGCGAGGATGCTGACTGTCTCTCCGCACTACATTATACATTATAATCATCGGTTACTTCAATCACCTGACTTTGAGGAAACCCGTAATAATCAGGGGGGGACTTAAGACCAAGGAAGTTAGATTCTAAAGGGCGCCTCAAAGAAAATACCAGGTTCAGGGGTATTGACTGTGACTGTAGCGGCTCTTACAGTTCCCAGCTGTAAGACTCCTGTTGCTGTAAAGGACCTTAACTCCTCTACACTCGGAATCAAACACACTCAGCAACTAAGCTCCTTTCCCGGCTGCCCACACTCGAACACAGCCAGAGACCCCTCTGTGCTGCCAGGAAACACGGCTCTGGTCGTCCGCACTCCCTAGCTGGACAGACACCAGGGTCAGAGGTCACCCAGCCCCCCCGCCAGACCAGGGGGTCGAGACAGATCAGGTCTTCGGGCTCGGGGGCTGGTGGGCTTTCTAGCGCGTAAGAAGCCCCTGCTCCACCGGAATCAGCATCAGAGGCAGCTGCAAGTTACCGGCTGGAGACCCGCACCCAGGCAGACGAGGTGTGAGAAGAGGACACGGGGAGAAACGGCCCACAACTCTAAGGAACTTAGACTCTAACTGATGAGGCAGGAGTCCCTACAATACAGCAGAAGGAGTGCATCTGAGGAGCAGAAATACCTGTCCAGTGTTTCCCAGAAGCGTAAGAAAACCGGCCTGTCCAAGTGGCGCTTGTGGTAGCTGAGCTCCAGCACCGTCACATCCCACTTCTGCACGTTGGGGTCTAGACGAACTTCATCGTATTTGAGGTGGAAGGCTTTAACTATTTGGGGGAAATAACATTCTTTACTCAAAATGCAATCAAATGAAAGTACTTTAGAAAATAAATTAAAATACCCAACACAGACATCAGCAAAAAACAACAAAAAAAACCTAAACTAAAACATAAAACAATTTTTCTTCCACCAACCGAAGCTATTATAACCAAAGTGATCTTTGCAATAGATGCTAAAACTGTGGCATCCTCAAAAAACATTCAACGGACAAATATTTACTAAGGGTTCATACATGCCAGCCACCCGGGACTAAAAAGAGGACTAAGGCACAATGCAATGGTCCCCTGGAAAGTAAGGCTGTTAAATACAATACGATAAATGCAGGGTAGCAGAGAAACACAAAAGCGTACCTTACCCAAGCATGGAATTCAGAAAAGGCTTGCATAGGCAGTGGTGTCTAATCTAAGACCTAAAGGTGGAGTAAGAATTAGGCTAACACAGAACCAAAGTGACCCAGTTAGCAGTAAGAGCACGCGCACAGAGACAACGGTTCACTCTGGGGCCGAAGAGAACCGAATGGACCCACACGTGCCAAGTCGCTCATGGGGGGAGCGAGGAGGCGGTGAGACCACAGGGGCCTGGAGCGATGCTGGCTCCGGCCAAGTGCTGAGCAGAGAGCGATGGCGCCACACACGCATCCAGAGGAGACAGGCGTGGTCAGCTGGGGAGGAGGCATGTGTGGCAAGAAAGACATCCAGAATCAGAAAATTAAGGAGGGAGAACTCATGGGACTTGTAAGAAATGACGGCAAGGAGGAGAGACACACAAAGGCCTGTGGAGGTTCCCTGGAAGGAGATGAAATGCTGCCCCCTCAGTGCGGCTGCCCTTTCACAGGTGCACGTGACATGGAAGGTGTTTAGCTTTTCTTTCCATTTTTCTAACATAGGATGTGACTGCTGCTCTCACCAATATTGTCTAGTATGAGGGGTCTTGAGAGAATCTGATTAACTGTTAATTTCTGATAGCTACTTTATGGATTGTACCATATTGCTTGCTCAAGGCCCAATTTTTTATGGAAATCCCAAGTGAATCATTTGAGCCCACAGAAAAACAAACTATTTATAAATTATTTGCTTTTATATATAAAGGACCTTTCATTGGACACATTACTTATTTTGAATTGAATTCAAGTTAATGAATTTGAACCAATTCATTATAGGAGCTTCAGGAAACCCATTTGCAAAATGGTTTTTATGGGTAAAAAATATTTTATTAAGTTTTAAAATTAAATAAATCAACATCTCAAGACCTCCTTATGTTTCACTTTCTAATTTTCTCAGCATGATTGCTTTAAGTGATTCTTAAAGATACAGGTTATATTTTTTAAAATGATTTGCCTAAAGCCACAAAGGCATACAGTATATAGTTCCCTTTGATAATTTCAATGGATTTAGGATTTAGTTTATACAAGACTTATTTTTTCAACAGAAGAGACAACTCAGTAAATTAATACTGAAATATCAGAGTCCAAAAAGTGTAAGCCGCAATGAAGAAACATAAGGTTTCTCTCATCATACAAAATGTTTTATTAGCACAAAGCAATTGTGGTGAGAAAACGTACACCAAGACATGACCACAAACAGCTTTCTTATTCCGAAAAAGACCGAAAGGATTAAGCCTCAGCAAAAAGTGAAGAAGAGACTCTACACAGAGCCAGGAGCCCGGTGGCACAAGGACCACCAGAGCGAAGCCCTGCGCAGTGCAGAGCGGCTCCTTTCTGCAACTGCATGAATCTTTTCAACAGTTTTTTATGGGAACAAAGAAGCCAAAAAATTAAAGAGGTGCCCTTGAAAAATATTTAGTAGGTAGCATGATGGCATGTCAAGTGACAAAGGGACAACATAATACAAACATTTATTAAATTAATTTTTTAAATTAACTAGAAAAAATTTGAAGAAATCCTCACTTAAAAATCTTGATTACAAATGTATGCATATGCAGCCAACTCAAACATAAAGAAAATAACAGTTTAGAGAAGTGATATCCAGTTATAAGTTCAAATTTCTCATAATTCTGAAAAGGTTTTATTATACAATCCAGTATTTAATATCTCCTCCAAAACTTTGTATTTTATTATTATGCAATATACAGAAAATATAATTTTTGCCAAGGCCCATACAGATGCTCCCAAATACCCCGTTTCCTCCCCCTACCCTATACAGGTATGATCATTTTCAATGTGTGTGTGTGTGTGGGGGGGGGGGGGGGGGGGGGGCCAAAAGCAGCAAGAGCAAAATCAGCAAGGAGACAAATTAAAAGCTAAGAGGTAATATGTCCTTAAGTTTCTGGCTTTAGGCAAATTATTTAAAAACCTGAGGAAGAAATGTTTGGGGCTCCGCTCGGAATAGGTTGAGCCTGATGTCCCAATGGGACCTCCCTGGAGTCACCTGGTCACCAGTGAGCTGTGAGGCCCAGGCCACCAGGCTAGAGGCGTGGCTCCGGAGCGCCATCAGCTCCCTGAGAGAGTGTGTCGGTAAAGGAGGCGGGATACGAACAGAAATCGGGGCTGAGAGCCAGAGGAAGAGGAGCTAAGGAGCCTGGGAGGCCTAACAGGTCACAGGAAGATGACTTTAAAAAAAATGAATTTATTGATTTGAGAGAGTAAGAGAGAAAGAAAGGAAGGGAAAAAGAGAGAGGGAGAGGGAGGGAGGAAAGGATGGAAAAAGAGAGAATGAGACAGAGGGAGGGAGGGAAGGAGGGACATCGATTTGTTGTCCCACTTATGTATGCATTCACTGGTGGATTCCTGTCTGTGTCATGACCAGGGATGGAACCTGCACCCTGGTATCAAGATGGCGCTCCAACCTACGGAGCTACCCAGCCAGGGTGAAAAGGAACATTTTAAAAAAGAGAACATTTGACTCAAGGAGTCCAATTCTGATAAGGGGGTCCAAAGCATCCAGTATCTGGGTCACTCGTGAGTTTGGTGGGAACAGTTTCGTGGAAGGCAAGAAAAGTGAGGCTACAGTAGACTGAGAATGGGATGGAAAATGAAGACAGTGAGTTAGTAGAGAGAACGCCTTCAGAAGCCTGGCTGTAAAAGCTGAAAGGCAGGAGCCAGAAGGACAGGCAAGGTCAAGGGAAGGGTTTATTTTGTTCTGTTGGTTTTAGGACAGAAGGGGCAAGAGGCTTTCACTTCAAACGCTAACAGAAAGGAGTCAGTAAAGGATGAAGAGAAAGAGATCAATTCGTGGAATTGCTCATTACTAAGCTCGCACCTAAATTTCAGAAACTAAACCTGAACAAAATGACAATGAAACCCTTATTCTTTAACCCTTTGTGGCCCAATGTTATTTTTGGAATTCAAACAGCCTGGTCCAAATTAATTGACGGGATTGAATGTTGAACTTTTTAATGTTCTTATTGCTCGACGTTGGACCTGCTCCTAGCACCTGGTCTGTCGAGTCAGCCTCGAGGTTGGACCAAAAAGGGTTCATGAAATTGAGAGGGCAGTGACATCTGGACACATTCTAATAACTTTTTACATACTATTCCCCAAGCACACAAGCCGTAAAGTAAAGCACAGCGTTCCTGTTCACTGACGTCCTTTCACTAAAATTCTCCCTCTCTCTGTACCTTTTAGCTTTACTTATCAACTCTGCGCATGACTCAAGTTTCAGGAATAGCAGAGAAAGCGACCTTCGTGGTGGAAATGATAGAATTCATCACGTGAGTACGTCTCCCCCGGGTGCCACTTTAGCCTGGAAGAATGGTGGACCCACCAACAAAAGCAGAGGCTGCTGACAATAAGCTGATTGCACAGCAGCACAATCTACACTCATGAAAAAGTTGTCATTTTTAATAAACATGTTTCGTGAGAATGCTTTTTATAAAGTAATTCTAGTACGCCACTAACTTCACTGGGTACTCGGATTTAAATAATTGAAATATCCCTACCAGCAAAAAAAGCCAGCTCAACTCATCTACTTCTTAAGGGCCAATGACTGGTCTCTGAGGGGAGAAGCCCATATTTAACTGACGTGTGGAATGCCTCCCCCTCGCGCTCTGTCCTGTGCGGCCCACAGTGACCCAGCAGAGGAGGCCCCTCCACCAGGGAGCGCGCACTCTAGGCAGGGAGCCTTACAACACAGATATAAACTGGCCCTCGGTTTTCATTAAAATGTATGGACCAGCAACAATACGACTGATTTTAAAGCAGTCTAGAAAGTAATTATTAATGTCGGAGGACGTGTGTGATGTTCAAAAAAAGGCTTTAAAATATTCCACAGGTGCTTAAACATTAACATGTATGTGACTTGATAAGGATCATTTGACAGACAATTCTCATCTGCAGAGACACAGAGGGCTCTTCCTCCTACATAAAGCCAGAGCATTCCGATGCTAGATTCGCAGTACAAAGCAGAATCTTACTTTTAGCAAATATGTCAACTGGTGATCCATCAGGCAAGAGCCATGGCCACCCTTTGAACTGCCACGCAGGACCCTGCACGAAAACGGCCACGACCCGGTCCCTGTAAACAGAAGAGGGGGGAGAGTCAGAGAACAGGCGGACACGAGCTGTCATTGCTGTGCATCTGAGGCTCACAGCACACGGCCACAGCCTTTCACCGGAATACTTCCGCCCCTACTGGTACCCTGCCTGGGTCCTGCACCCAAGTCTCTTACATGTAATTAATTACATGCACAACCTTAGGCGATCTTTTAGCCTTTTCTCTCGGCCCTCCTAGCAAGGACAGAAAGGGCCACTTTTCCAATGCGGCAGGAAACAGTAGCTGATCAATTAATCAAAAAAGCTGGTTTTAAAAGGAAAACATTTAACATTCAAACAAACATCATTCACTTAAATTAAAAACACCAGACATTATAGTAATTCACCAGCCATTTCATAAAGCTCCAAGGCCTTATTTTTAAATTCTGATTATGTGAAAGTAACCTCAGTACAGAAACCAGCTAGACTTTTCTTACACTTTGCAACTGTTTTAAAACTGTTTCACTCACCACACATCTGTAAGTTTTCCTTAAAGCAACTTGTTTTACCAACCATTTAAGTTTCTTTTCCCAAAAAAAGAACAAATCTCCTTCTAGGCCCTCACATTCCATTACTTTAAACAGTAATTAGCCCAGCTGGCATGGCTCAGTGGTTAAGCATCGATTTATGAACTAGGAGGTCACAGTTTGACTCCCGGTCAGGGAACATGCCCCGGGTTGTGGGCTCAAGCCCCAGCAGCCGATCAGTAAGTCTCTCTCATCACTGATGCTTGTTTCTCTCTCTCTTCCTCTCCCTCCCTCCACCCCTCGTCTCTAAAATCAATAAAAATATATTTAAAAATAAAAAACAATGTAATTAAATTGAGAAATTATAATAAATACAACTGCCATAAACCGTTTAAGCCCACCACTAAGAGGCGGGAACAAAGTCCTAACGCTCACATTGGTGAGGTTTCCTCGTGCCTTTACCCTGTGCAGTGCTGGTCTCGGCAGCTGACACGTGACTTACATTAACTCACTGCATCTTCTAAACAGCCCCCGAGGTGAGTGCCACCATCCTTGCCCATTTAGGGAGGAGGAAACACAGTGTGGGGGCAGGCCAGAAGCAGGGGGAGGGGGAGGGAGAGGGAGGAGGAGGAGGAGCGGGGGAGAGAGATGATGAATCTTGTGTACTGAGTGTGCTCCTGTCCCGTGTGAGGACTGATAAGTCATGAGAACAGCATTCAGTGCCATCACGTGACCTCACGCCTCCTGGAGAGGGTCCTGGGAATGCCCTGAGGCCCACAGATCACTCTATACATCCACGGAAACAGCAAACTTTCTATTCAAGTAAGAAACCTACAAGAAGGATCCGTTACTGTGAAAAACCACAGCTAACAATTCTTAACCTGCTCAAAATCTCCAAGACGGAAATTATATCTTAAATGGAAAATGCCCGCTTTCAAGGGGCCTGAGCTGCATCGGCCACACCCACCCACTCACGGAGCACCACACACGGCCCCTGCTCTGACCAGGCGACGTGCCCCTGCAGCAGCTGGGAGCTCTGGCGCCTGCCACCTCAGGGAGTCTGCTGGCCAGAGCCCCCGACCCCTGCCAGGTCCCCCTGGGCAGCAGGACAAGAGGAAGACTCGCCCCAGGGAACTCCTGGAAGGACAGGTGAAAGGGGGAAGGGATGCTACCCCCAGGCTACGGCGCCAGTGGCGAGGAACCCAGTGAACAGTCACACGCGGGAGGCGTTCTGAGACGCAGACCTGGCACCTGTGCACGCTGCTGGGCTCCCTCCCTGCAATAGCTCCACACATATATGCAAACAGGTAACATTCCTACTTCCTGCACGCCTTAGCCTTGATACACATGAAACCTCTTCTCCTTCCCTTCCTGTGTGCTCGGTGTGCCTGGCTGGCTATGGGGAGAACTGTCACACAGGAACCCTCTGTGCTTTAGTAGATGGTGAACACACTGACACTGCCAGCAGCTTGACCTCCCATGTCTGAGACCAGCAAACACTCTGAAGGGAGAGTTCATCCACTGCACCGATGCAGCAAGTGCTCCCTGTCACAGAGATGAGATGCACTCTTGGACTTTGTATTTTCACTCCAGCTTAGATTAACAAAGTAATTTAAGATTAATTCCTGTATCTTCGGTTACAGTCTCTATATTACACATAGCTCAGTATTTTATTAAAGAACACTTCAACATAATAAAAGAGCTAAACCAGGGTGATCGCGTTCTTCTTTTTATTAAATTACTCCCTTGTAATAAATGTAGCAATGCCTTCACTTACCGTTTCCTGCCAGGAAATCTGAATTTTCCAAATCTAAAATCTAAAACATAGGCCTTCACAACATTAGTCTGCTTAAAGCTCTACTCTAAAAGCTGATCCAGAACCAATGGACGGGTGGAAAGAATTTTTACTAAGTTTTCCAGAAGTTAGTGTTTCTTCTTTTAAGTGAAATAAAGTGTAGCTACCTAAAACATAGGTTTGATTAGGTATCACTGGACTATATATTTTTTAAATATATTTTTATTAATCTCAGAGAAGAAGGGAAAGGGAAAGAGAGATAGAAACATCAATGAAAAAAGAGAATCATTGATGGGCTGCCTCCTGTTCGCCCCTTACTGGTGATCAAGCCCACAACCCAGGCATGTGCCCTGACAGGGAATCCAATCCTGAACTCCTGGTTTACTGGCCAACACTCAACCACTGAGCCACACCAGCCGGGCACTGGACTATATTAATGATGACCAAATTAGGCATTAGCAACGGCTTCACAAACAGGTTCTATTTATACCTCATGATAAAATCCACGATCCCAGGAATGACGGGCCAGGTAGGAAATACAGATATCTCACCAGTCCTGAGGCATGAGTTTCAGGGGCTGGTCTACGACTCTGTAGGGAACCGTGACGCTGAGCGCAGTGCCCCCCGGCTGCATCTGGTCTTTCCTTCTCTGTATCAGCGTCTCGTTTTCTCGCTGGCAGCCCTGTTTCTTCTTCTCGTCTGATGGGACAAATCTTTGAAAACACAGAGAAGAGAAAAGGACAAAAGGTTCAATGTGATAAAAATAAAAAATAAAAAAAGAAGTCCTATTTTGAAGTGATTTTTTAAATACTGAGCTTTAAACCAAAAACACTGGTTTTTAAAATACACCTGTTCTGCATGTCCAGGTGATGCTTGAAGAGCAAGGGTCTTTCTTCCCCCTGCATGTCGAGTGGAGCGAAAGCTGGCTTCAGCCGTAAGTCAGCATGGGTGTGCCTCTCTCACACACAATGTCTGTTCACCGCACCCAGCATCTCCCCGGCTACACAGAAAACCGCACTGATCCTGATTTCCCAGGCGCCATTAGGGAGACTGAATTGTAAACGGAAAGGTGGCTTCAACTGAAGGTGACGTGGCTGGCGAGGCTGCCTCCCGGACAGGTGACTCAGCCCAGCCAAGAACTTCACAAACCGCCCGTCACGGTGTATGCCTCTGCAAAATCAGGGAACTGCCATCCAGTTTCAGGGCTGCTTTGCAAATTTTAAAGTAAGAAAATTCAATCTGTGTATGCCCATTGCCTGTTTTAGTAAATACTGCTGCAACTTACTGGAGTAAAGGAGCAAATCTGTGTAGGTCAATTCTCTACTGTTCCATCAACCCTATTCTCAAAAGTACTGCAGCCGTCTGCAGCGCTGTTGCCAGCTCTAGGCTTGGTAGTGATCGCCAAGCGCTTCACAACAATCTTTTAAAAAATATACACACATCTCCTAAGTCTATTGGCACATTTTCCTCGCTCTGGTGCGCCCTGCCACTGTAGGGGGTGGTGCCATCAGCGCACTCAGTGTGGGTCCTTCTGCTTCTACAGTTCAGGGAGACACGGGGGAGGGGACACATGAGAACTTGCACTTGCTAGAATCCTCTGAAAATGTTAACCCCACACACTGGCTTCGCCATCCAGCGATGCTACTGTTGTGACCTGAAGGCTGTCGGTACGTGGTGACTGACAGTGCTGAGCTGCACTGGTGAGCTGGCTGTTCCACGTCACGTCACATCTGCTGGGAAAGTCAAGAATGCCGCGTCATCTAAAACTGTTGCCCAGATAGTCACTTTACGGCCTATGGATTCCTTTGGGAAACTACATTTTCCGACCTATGGGCACATTTATTGGTGTACAGACAAATATGGGAGTGAGGTTACTGCACCGGCGGGAAAGCAGTGAGCGCAGGAAGTTAACACAGTGCAGATTCTCTCCACTGAAGGTGCTGGTAAATAGTTAGACTCAAGCTCTGCTTTCTACTGCACTTCACCGGGTTCCTGGAATAGGGAACAAAGCCCAGCTTCTGCGGGCAGGGCACCGCACAGAAGTTTCTCCCCCATAAAGCCAGGGCGCTCAGGAGGGAAGTTTGACTTTAGGGTAAACCAGCAATAAGCCCACCGCCCGCCCTTTTCCCCGCCCCTCACCCCCAGTCGTAACCAACACCATGGCCATTGCCAGGGGAGGCAATCTCACCATTGCCCACTAGACCCCTCTTGGACCGAATCAAGAGTAACAGCCCCGAGCACAGTGATGGCTCAGAATAAACGTTCTCCCAGCCCCGCCTGCGAGCCCTAACCCCGGGGTTTGGGGGAATTACTGGGAAACGCACTGTCTTCGCACAGTGATTGCTGGCCTCAAGCTTCTGCTATCATGTGTCCCTGAGGGGGAGAGCTGCCCGAGAGACGAGGGACCGGCTCCTGATGACATCGCTCCAGCGCTGAGCCAGCTGTGCCCAGAGCCACGCTTTCAGTGACGTTGCGCCAATGAATTATTCTTTGGTAACGCTACTTTGAGTTGGTTTTTACCACTTACAACTAAAAGCATTCTAACGAATACAACCAGAACCGCACAACCAAGGCGGTGGATGGATACACATCATTTGGAGAATGATGTCCACTGATTCACCCATTTCGTGCTGCAAGGATCGACAAGTAATATTGTCCAAGAATGAAATGCACCCGCAGAGGATTATGCTCCGTGAGATACGGCAGGCAGAGAAGGACTGGTGCCATATGAGCCCGCTGACAGGGGGAGCTAATGAACAACTGAACTCACACAGTGGACAGACTGACGGCTGTCAGAGGGGACAGGGTTGGGGTTGGGGGCTGGGTGAGGAGGGTGAAGGGATTAAAGAAAAAACAGAAAGACAGGCTCATGGACACAGACAACAGTATGGGGACTGCCGGAGGGGGGAGGGGGAGGGGAGGTAGAGGGTTAGGGGGGGAGGCGGTAAACAGAGATGGAAGGAGACTTGACTTGGGGTGTGAACACACAATACAATATACACATGATATATTATAGCATGAAACCAATACATTATTAGCCAATGTCACCCCAATAAACTCAACAAAAAAATAAAGAATATAATGCAAATGAGATATAACTAGGTAAGTTAGGTTAGTTTTCCTTTTTCTTAAATAACAAAAGTTGAAATTTAAAAAATGCGATAAACGAATGTCTGGATGTGAAGCCCTCACGGAGTGTAAAGTGGTGCCTCGCAGACGCCGGGTGCAAACCTCCCCCGAGTGCCCACCTTCCTCCGTCAGTCAGAGAATCTCCAGAGAAACAGTTCCCAGGAAATGAGCAAGTGAAAACAATGAAAAACATTAAATAAACCCTAAAAAACACACAAGGAAATGAGGTGTCATGAATGAAACAACCATCAAAAGACAACGAAGGACTTCTTTGATGCACTGACCAAAGATCATTGCTTAATTTTTAAAAAATGAAAAAAAAAAATGTATCGATGTTTCTATTTCTCCCTCTTCCTTCCTCTCTAAAATGAATAAAACATTTTTGAAAAAAGAGACATGGAAAATGAGAGGTCTGAAGTAGAGCTCACTTAAGTCCCAGAAGGAAGAGGACAAAACAGGGGAAAGGCAATATCTAAGAAGAACCAGAACCGATGACAAGCCTCCGATTTAAGTCTAATGACTCCCAGAGCGGGATATAAAGAAATCTATGGCGAGGGAGAGCAGATGAACAACTGTAAACTGATCTTTAAAACCACCAGATAAAGCCGCCTTCCTTCGAGGACGAACAGCTGACTTGCCGTCATCAACAGTGGAAGCTGGAGGCAGTGGGATGTCTTCCAGGGAAAGAGAAACCAGCACCTCCGGCCGGCTCCACAGCGGCTGAGTCACGCTGCAGTGCTGCTGGGCCCCACTCCCCCTTTCTGCCTGGTTTCTTCCCCCACAACCCACGTGCTGAGCCAGGCGAGCCCCTGGGGCCCCTCCCCAGCCATCGCTCCTCTCTGGAACTCTGCCCTGAGAAGCTACATCTCGGCCAGAATCGTGAATGCCTTCCAATCAGATTATTTTGAACACAGTTCCAGTCCCACCCAAGCATTTCTCAAAATCATGCTGATCAATGTACAATGTGCTTTATAATTACTTCCATTTACAGCATTAATTTTGCTATTTAGGGTGTTAAAGTTATGGTGGATTTTACTTTGTCTGTCTCTTTTACTTACTGTAGGGCTAAAAATTGAAGAATCCACGCCAACATGAGCTATGGGTTACAGCCAGTCCTGTAATTGTGTGGAGGAGGTTTCAATTATGCATTAATTACACAGCCAAGCCTCCAGCTGACTCACGCTGTAGGGGACATGTCAGCTGCAATGAGGTGTTAAACAATGAAGGGAGTGTTCCAAACTTGGGAGGACCATTAGGCCTGGTCAGCCCTGGGAATGTGGCTGTTGGACTGTGGGCTTCTTTGCAACACGACGAAGGAGAAAGATACTAAAATTCACCGCGTGGTTTTCTTTGCACTATTCGCTGCCTTCTATTATAAAATAATATGTAAGTATTAGATCTGTAATATATGCAGAGAGGCACCAAAAGACTCAGAAAATGAAAAATTAAAGGCAGAATTTCCTTTGTAACACTTCAAAAACTTACTGTAAATTTTCTGTAACCATGCAGACACATTTATAAAAGTACAGTTGTCAATTACTAAAAATTATGAGAACCGTAAATACCAAATTCACAGATCATAAAAACAAAAGAGCTAGAAAAGACTGTAAAGAGCCAAATACAGTAAGTGCAAAAAGCCCACCCCAAGTATGACGACCCTGCTGGGAACTGATCCAGTCACAGGTGCAGGCATGACTGACAGGTATTGAGGTATTGAGAAGGAGCTTAAACCCAGAGATGAGTCCGCTAATAAATTCACAGCGAGCACAGTGTCAGATGCAGAGGCTACCACGCTCCCATGTCCTCGGTGCGTCTCCCTCCTTCCTTAACACTTACTCAGCGCCCGTGGTTAGGCAACAACTGTTTCAAACAGTAGAGACACAAAGAAAAACAAGACAACGAGTCCCTTTCTCGGAGGAAATCACAACATGCCTGGAAAGACTGGGTGCCGGACGGCAAGACACGGAGCCCGCACCAAACAGAACCAAGAAATAGAGCGTTTCCTATTTCACAGAGAATAGACGATGCACGACCCATTCTCGCACACTGATTAGAAGGTGAAAAGCAGGCGCATACTCAAATAAAAACAACACATTTTTAAAAGGTAGTTAATCAAAACCATGTTCACGTGGGTCTAACCATCTCATACTATCAGAGCTATGTCAAGAAGTGGACGAAAATGATTCTATTTCTTATTCACCCAACTGTTGATAATGTGAGGGATGGTAGATTACCAGAGTAATCCACACACGGTGAGAACAGCCAACTTCACTATACAAGCCCAATAAAATATAAAATACAAAACATAAATGTTCCTTCTGTACCCTTAAAACCTGTAATTTTATTAACCAATGTTGCCCCAATAAATTCAATTCAAAAACTCCTTTATTCCATACTGTTAATGGAAAGATCATTGAAAATTTCATTCAAAGGTATAAGGAAAAAATACTTAATGAATGGTTAAACTTGTAATGCCAGGTTACACGGATTGTTGTACGTCTAATTTAAGTCGCAGGCATATAAAAGTCAATTCTGCAGTTGGTAAAACCTAAAATCAGCAAGTACCACAGCTCATTTTGCTTCTGGCTTTTAATTAGAAGCAGTCTGAATTCTGTTTTGGAGGTGAGGTTACTTCTTTTTCCTTCTCTAAGAACTGTCATTCATCGTTATTTTACTAAGAAAGATAGAGCATTCACTCACACTCCTCCCATAGATATGTGACTGAGTGAATATATTTTCCTAGTTACAACTAAAAATATTTAACAAGAATTTTAAACGTAACCCCATTCAAATTATAAAATATTACTGTCATTCTCACAGTGAATGGAAGGATCCAAATATGAAAGACTATATCCTATTTTGAAAATTATATTTCAGACTACCGGTATAGCAGAAATTGAAATTTGGTATTCTCCAAATAAGAACTACAGAATGGTAACTGCTAATTCACACTGTCTGCACACTCGGTGAACAGAGAGCTGAACAAATCCCTTACTTCAGGTCCTGCAGCAGGTCCTTTGCATTCAGCATGGTTATTAAAGAGGTGGTAGCGGCAGGGATTATGATAATGGGTGTGCGAGAACCTGCAAAGACAACATTTTTAAAGGTAGTAAACATGTTATTACTATGAAAAGGAATTATAATTGCTTTCCCAATCAAAAGCTTGTAAATGTATAATTTTCACTCTTTTGACCTAAAAGTCACTTTAAGTCAGCAGCAATATTCAAAATATTTAACAATCAGCCGGCCGGCGTGGCTCAGTGGGTGAGCGTCAACCTATAAACCAGGAGGTCACGGTTAGACTCCTGGTCAGGGCACATGCCCGGGTCGTGGGCTCAATCTCCAGTGTGGGGCATGCAGGAGGCAGCCGATCCATGATTCTTTCATATATTCTCTCTCTCTCTCTCTCTCTCTCTCTCTCTCTCTCTCTCTCTCTCTCTCCCCCCCCCCTCCTCTCTGAAATCAATAAAAAAAATTAACAGTCAGTATGACCTATGCACCTACTAATCCGAATAGATACCGAACACACACATTCGATACAAGTGCGCAGGCAGAATACCAGCCCAGCTTTGTTATCTCGCTTATTCACATTCACTTTATAAAATACATTTAGAATCATTTGCAGAATCTTACCTTTCTTCTGATTAGGAGGAGGTCTTGCTTGAGAAACTGTTGAAAGAAAAATAAAAAGCAAACTTCTGAATCTTATAAAAATCACATTATTTTCAAGCTTAAAAGGCAAGTAAAGTCTGAGAATTATTTGTGATTATAGATGACTAGCTCAGTCGCGGCTGTTAACCAGCCTGCACTGCTGCTACTTCAAGTCTGGGGGGGGGGCAGGATGAGGGCTGGTTCTGAAATTCCCCGTCCAGGGTCCTCTGAGTAAATGCTGAAGCCACACCCGGGGAGGCCGAGCAGCACTGCCCGCTCCGCCTGCACATGCTCTGTGGGGACCAGAAATCCCAGCCACGGACGAACCCCAGAGGCACACTGCTGAGAGGCAGCGGGGGACAGCCAGCCGGGGGCCCTGGGAGGCCCAAGGAATCATGTGGTCTGGCCCTGCCGAGGCTTAGAGGGGTGAGTTCATTAAATGTCTGACCAGATATCGCAGCTAATGTTTAAGTGGATCATTCTGTGTGGCCAGCGAATGAGGTAATAAATATCCAATGGCCCTTGGCAGAGCAGCCGATGTGAGGAATGAATACCTCCTAAGAAGGTTCTGGCTTAAGAAACAGAGTTGATGGTGGTGCCCTTTATGCACGAAGCAGGAAGGGTGAAGTCAGCCATCGGGGGAAAATATCAGGGAACAAAGGTTTTCCATCAGTTTTAAGACGCCTGTGGCAAACCCAAATGTTAGCCAGTTAATGTAGGATGCCAGACCTCGGAAGAGATGTCTGAACAGGAGACACAAACTGGAAAATCACCAGAACATCAACTTAAAACTACGGGTGAGGTACTGCGACCCACATGTAGGTGATGAAGTGGATGCCTGGGCCGCGTGGGACTCTGACACACACAGAGGGCTGTCAGTCTCTCACGAGCAATGAGAGGTAAACGAGCCAGAGGCGGCCGACCCATCTCCGAGACCCTGGGAGTGAAGGCAGGAGGGACAGCTGGGGGCCGGGACTGCGGCGTGCACCAGAAAGAGGGCGAGGGACAGTGGTATGTGCGAGAGTTTCCCCTGGTGAAGAGGGAAGGGCTGGCCGGGTGCAAGCTCAGCTGAGCAAAGGCCTGTGCCTCTTAGTCCACTGGAACACGTGGGCCTCGCCAGGTACAGTCCCTACCTTTCCTTAACACATTTTAAAAAAATGATTACAGAACCTTATGTGCTAAATAACGCAGACATCTGAAGTCCTAAGCATCAAAGCTGTGTACACCAATCTATTAAAATTATGGTTTTCTGCTCTATGATTAGGGGAGGTGGGAAATCACATCCACATGCACCATCACGGAACTCAAACAAGGAATTGGTGAGGGGTGCTACATATACTCTGCTTTTTAAAACATTTTTCTGAAACATTTAAAATCATTTACTTAAAATTTTCTTTAACTCCTCAACTATCCTACTGTCAAGTAAATGTTCTGTAAGATCGCTTTAGAAGTATCTGAAGTAACGTTTCAGGTCCTGGAAAGCATGATCACTCTTGTGATCATTTGGAGGGAAAGATCTTGTTTTTACCTGGTCTTGGCACTGGCTGTGCCGCAGGAGTCTGAGTCTTACGGGCCGACGCACCCTCCTTTAAAACAATAAAAAATGATATATGACATTAAAGTTTCTTTATAAATTTCACATCTATTTGTCTTTCAATCAGTCACTCTACCAAACATGCTCTGATCAATCCTAAGAATGTAAAAACAAAACACCTTTCCTTATTTTTTATACTGTTGGTCATGATGTGGGAAATAGAAATCTTAGGTGGAAAATGAATTAAAAATTCTTACCATACAGCAGTTATGAGCATGCAGTATTTCTCAAATATCCAATGATTTGTGTAATTGCTGACAATTTTAACATCTCAGAAATGTCATCATTTTTAAATCAAGTCAATCTTTTCCCCCTTAAACAGTCTCAAAATGAGTAATACATAACCTCAGATTAGAAAGATGTAAACAACATAACTTTGCATTAAAAACCACAAATACTTGACATTAATTGCCTTTAAAATATTCAGGGAAAATAAATAATCCCATTTACAAAGATGAGATTTTTTTATTTAAGAGTGATTAAAATATCTTAAAAATTGAATAACAAATCTCAACTCATTACCAAGCTTGTGATATATACAAGAAAATGTGCTGAATGTTGAATTTTATCAACTATTTACTCAGTAGATGACACTGAAATACTTAAGACACTTTAAAAGCTATCTATCTTTAGTGCATTGGTTTCGATAATTTTCATGCTAAATTTTTTTTTATTAAAACATTTTCCTTTAAATAAACTGTTGAGGGAAGGGGGAAAGAGACCAACCAAAGGACTTGTATGCATATATGCATGACCCATGGACACAGACAATGGGGTGGTGAGGACCTGGAGGGGGGGGGGGGTGCTCACAGGGTCATGGGGGGAAGAAGAGGACATAAGTAATACTTTCAACAATAAAGATTTTTTTAATTTATGATAGCAGTGTGTATGTCCACCTGATCCTCAGACCTGATTATTCCAGGCGACTAATGAGGTAATCAGCTACTAGCACCTGCACTGAAACCAACGTGGACGTGTCAACTGCAAGTGCCCACAGGCAGGTATGCTGCGCTGGCGCCCGAAACGGCCATGCTACTGGGAAGCCAAAGACTCCTGCAAGCTTGCTAGCAAAGTAGGGGCCACATTACTGCTGGTTTTAAATGCTGGCAACGCCCCTTAGGATCATGGGTAGCCTCTATGAACTAAAACAGATAAACGTGTCTGCCATTCATTAGTCCTGGAAGAGACACTGAAATTGAGTTCCGCTTTCAAGTCAAGAAACTTCATTTGCTGCACAAGGTGGGGCAAAGCGAAGGAGAAGGCCAGGCAGGCGGCACTGGCACCTTCATTCTGAGATCGCTCCTTCGAGCCGGGCTAACTCCTGCTTTGGGAGCTCAAAGGAAAGTAAAACGGGTTCCTAATCACCTGCTGTCCTCAAAGGAAAACGAAATTCTGAGCAAACAATAACTTTCCTTCAAAAAGGAAACACTAGTGACTGAATTTAAATAACCAAAACACATGCCATTCATCCAAATATTTTAATTTAATAAAGATTTCATCTAATTTTAAGTCAGAACAGTCCAGAGATATAAACCACAAGCAAAATTGTTGATGGATAGCAATGAAACTAGAATCTGGCCTCTAAAGAACCGTCAAATGGCACTGTCAGAGACTAGGGGGAAGTCACATCTGATCCAGAACCGCAGGGTGTGTCTCCAGCACAGGGAAAGACAGCTGGCCCTTCGGTGAGCAGAAGCGGAAATAAATGCCGAGCATTTACAGGCCAACCACTCACGCTGAAGCACAGAGAGGGATGGAGACCAACGCAGGGAGGACCGGACCCCACTCCCTCCTCCAGGGATGCGAAGACATGCGACAGGTGCAAGCCACCACCAGGGCTGAGGTGCTCTCCCCGCACCCCGTTCTCCCTCGTTCTTCCTACCAAGGACATGTAGCTGAATGTATCTGCATCGATAAGCAGGTAGTATACTAGTAAGTCCATAAAATGACTTATCTCTACTATTAGATAACGAATGAAGTTACACCTGACTCATCACAGAATGATCACTCAAAAGCTGAATAAACCCATTACTTCCGAACCAGGAGAAACTAAAGGTTAGGAGGTGTGAAACGCTAAAGGCCCTCACCTTTAGCCCTGGGGAGGGGCCCTCTCCCACTGCCACCCACATGCTCTCCCCCAGGGGCTTGTGCTGAAAGCGCTCCCGCCCAGCCCCCCGCCCCCCTTTCTCGGTAAAGGCTCCTCTCCTTGTCCTCTAGACATGCCTGTGGTTCGTCACAGCTACCGTGTCCCAAATGCCACTCCGCTGCCATTCCTGAAGACGCCCATTTCTGCTGGTGAAATAACTCCTGCTTCATGTTGAAGGCTGTCAGGGGCCTGGCAAACCCGGCTTTAGATTCTGACTCCTGGAGGGCTATTCTAGACAAGCCCAGGGAAAACCCGAAAACCAGCGGGACAGCTCTGCTCTTCCCTTCAGGGTGTGCGACAGATGTGAACACAGACCCGTGCAAGTAGTGTTGCAGTGTACCCCGCAAATCACACAAGGACGCCTCAAGAAGTCGAATTAAGGAGCCACATTTATTTCAAAGCCGGGACTACGAGGGGGCAAATGCTCTCCAAATCTCGTAGTGCCTGAGTGAGAGTAGTAGCCATCTTATAAAGGCAAAAACCACATCCTGCCAGACCAGTGGTTCTCAACCTTCCTAATGCCGTGACCCTTTAATACATGTTGTGGTGACCCCCAATTTCACTGTTACAAATTGAACATCATTAAAGCATCGTGATTAATCACAAAAACAATATGTAATTAGATCTGTGTTTTCCAATGATCTTAGGCGACCCCTGTGAAAGGGTCGTTCGACCCCCAAAGAGGTCACGACCCACAGGTTGAGAACCGCTGTGCTAGACACTGGAATGTGGAATTATCTTGGGAAAGCAGTTTTACAGAAGCAGAATTGAGCAAAGTTAACAATCTTTAAAGGTTCTATAGTTTCAGTTCCCGGAGCCACTGAGTTAAGGAAAGTAATTTTGTGGTTCTGGTCCTCGGACACAGGAGAAGAGCTTCTGTGATGTGGGCTGGTGACATAATGGGGGGGGGGGTGTGAGTTTCCAGGTCCCGCTCTAATCTGGAAACTGAGGCAACTGCCCTATTGTGTAAGCAAGCAGGCGCACAGAAGCCAGGACAGCAGGGTTAAAATCCAAACAGCAGTTTTTACCCGAGATGAAAGATACTACGCTCCATGCTTCAGTAGAAATTACCAGACAGTTATGCAGAACTATAAAACTTCACAAAACAGCTGCCAGTTGCTGAGTCTGACAAAAAAACTTGTCACATTTCCTGAGAAAGTTTAAGCATCGAATTCAGATGTTAAAAGACGCGAAACTAAAGGGAGAACGTCTACAAGCCTGCCTGTCAGGATTTCTACAGATTCCCGTGGCTGGGAACATGAAGGTGCTAGAAAGAGCCATTGGGGGAGCTTTCATCTCTGCCTGCTCGTCTTCTCCACCAGCGTCACTTGAACTTAGGACAGAACGCGGGTGTGGCCTGAAAGCGGAAAGGCAATTCCGACGATGTGCACAGGCCCGTGAGGAGTCTGCAGGAAGCTCTGCTGTACAAACACGGGTCCCACTGCAGTGGGATCGACAAGCCTCTGGAAACTTCGGGGCTGCGGACAGTACCGAAGGCTCCCTCCTGGAGCGCTCTTCATCATCCAGATCCAAAGTAAATCCAAGGGCCCATCAGAGTCCAACCTAAAGAACTGGCCAAAAACGGTGATCTCTGTGCCCTAAGGTGTAACAAGCTGTACCCGCCTGCAGATGTTGGCGCGCAGTGGTTGGTCCATACCTATTTGCTGGACAAATGAATAAAGTGAAAATATAAACAGCCACTCATGCTTCTGTGAGTGACTTCTGGGTATGCTGCCCCAGGGGCAGAAAGAGCGCCATTTCCCCGGCTGCGCCACGCACGCCATGGCCAAGAACAGAGCGCAAGGACTGAGAGAACCTTGCTTTCATCCCTCGTCACAGCTTAGCTACCAGTGGGGACAATCATTTGACAACTCTAAGCATGGTTCCGCCTCTTCCGATGGGCACTGCAATGAAACTGATGAGCAAAAAGGCCGGTTTCGGAATATCTCAGGCAGCATCCACGCCCACCGGGTTAATCCTCGGCAGTGGCCACTGCTGCTGGCTACATAGTCAAAGCAAGGAGCTCCTGATAAATATGATCTACTAAATCCAACTCCTCCTTCTGTCAGCGGAGTGATTTTAAGTAGACGCTGAAGCATTACTCCAAATTAAACAAGCAAACGGAGCAGGGAGCATGTATATGGGTGGACAGAGAACTAAATGCCCCAAAAAACGGGTTGAGCCTGGCCGGTGTGGCTCAGTTGGTCGGGCGTCCCTCCCATGTACCGAAAGGTTGGTTTCATTGCCAGTCAGGACACGTAACAGTCATAAGCTCCTAAAATGCACTAAAAATCTAATGGACAAAAATAAAAAATGTTAGAGGGCCTGGCACTAAATTTAAAAGTTAACACGAGCAGCTGGCTGGCTTGGGATACAAAACCAAATCTGTCCCTCAGGCTGCCTCCTGGACCCCGACTCCACGGGCTCTGGCCTGGGCGAAGGCCGGCGGTGTGGACAGCGGGCTGCGTGAAGGGCAGGGACGGCGGGGGACCCAGCAGCACGTTTCCCAGTGAGGTTATGTTAGTAACATTGGTTAACCCAGGTTCAGGGGAAGGAGCCCTTGTTACAAGTTGGAAAGACTGAAACTGTGAAAATGAAATCTACACCAGGGCTGGTGTGGCTCAGTGGGTTGGAGCATCATCCTGTACATGGAAGGGTCTTGGGTTCGATTCCCTATTGGGGTTTGAAAAGGAGGCAACTGATCAATGTTTCTCTCTCACATGGATGTCTCTCTCTCTCCCCGCCCCGCCTCCAATCTAAAAAAATCAATAAAAACATATCCTTGGGTTAGGATTTTAAAAAAGAAGAAAATGAAATGTAGCGAAAGCAGGCATTTTCATGTCCCATTTTTGTCCTTCCTCCATGTCCGCACTTCCTGACCATTAATCACCACCCTTTGATGTGAAATTCACAAGAACAGTTTTCAGATTCACTTGGACATTTCTCTGTATTTGAGTTTTATGTTCATGAACAACATATGGGAAAGTAATTGTGTAAATAAATAGTGTGCGGACTTTGGATCCTTCTATGATCCTGGAAAGTAAACAAGTGACTAGAGTTAATCTCTAGAATCTCTATTTCCTCCATAAACTGACATGTGATAATCAAAAACTATTATAGGAAATGAAAGGTTATATTTGATATAATAGACATTACTGGGGATATAGGACCGTGAACATATAGCTTAAGTCCCAAAACTATACATTTCTGGGAGTCAGTGTCCCTAAAGTCTGGGAGGGAAACTGATAATTCAAGCTATTTTAAAAAAACACAATGCCCCAATACTCTGCAGAAAAAAAGAAGGTGCCCAGGAGACTAAATATACCAAGAAATATCCAAGCATCTAGCGCTTACTAAAAAGCTTGCTTGACAGCAAGTTACCATCCCATCCCGAAACACTGGGACAAGTGACTCTGATCAGAAAAACCTAACTGCCCACCAGCAAGATCCTCTGCACGTGTGCTGTGTGTACTCTATCATTTTGCTGAATTTTATCATACATGGAATTTTAAACAAAGGCAAAATAAATAAAAATGCAAAAGTGGTTAAAAATAAAGTTTTATTGCCTTCGAGAACATCAGACACCACACAGAGAACAAAGCAGGTGCGCTGTAGCACGCTGTGTCAGTAAAACCCAGGCAGCTGGCTTACATAAGCCCCAGAAAGGGGGGTGGGGTCTAAGTTACAGATCCAAGAAAAGGGCCCTCGAGCCTGAACCAGGTGTTCGTAAAAGGGAGGCAACTTGAGAAAAAAAAAGAAAAACTTCAAAGGAAGGGGTGCATTGAAGGGATGGAGTCGGATCAAGTTACATATAAAAGCTTATATCGTAGAACCCTATAAAACCATGTCTCTCTCACACACACACAGGAAAAGCAACATCTAACCCTGAAAACACTTAGAAAGCCTGTGCTCAAGCATAAAGTCAAAAAAAAAAAGAAAGAAAAAAGGACGTAAGATAAAGAAAATAAAATTATGGCCTTCATTTCCTAAGCATCCCTTTTCTTATTCTTCACCCGTCACCACACTGGGACTGAGTATCACACAGAAGCACAATCGCTAAGCTTCTCCCTACCTTCGGCTTTTAGTCCAAATTAATGCACACGATCACGTGGGCTCGGGCCAAGCAGTGACGTGCGATTCTGCTCTGTCAGAGGGAACATCTGTCAAGCCCACATTCACAGTGCTGCCTGCCTGTGCGGCAGGAGGAGCGGACCTCACATTCCACACGAGCCCGCCCCCGGGACGCTGCCGGAGCCTCCCTGCAGCTGCCAGGCACCCGAGAGGCCCGGCCTCCTCCCAGCGAGGCTCTCCCCCTGCAGCTCGGCCGGGAACATGGATCCTGAGCAGGGAGGACAGCGCTGCATTGTCCGGCCGGGAGCGCAGATGTAGGGCTTCCCCGCAGCAGCCGCCGGGCCGAGGCGCCCCGCTGCACACGGAGCGGCGGCCACAGCTCTTTTGTTCCGGAGCAGAGGAGATGCCAGCAGGGAAGAGCCCCCGGAGCCCGGCGCCCCCATGAAGGAGGAGGCGCCTGGAGGCAGGAGACAGGTGGACAGCGGGGGCCCATGCACAGCAGGCGCAGGAGGCAGACCGTGGGGGATGTGCGCATGTTCCGTGGCACCTTTTTGCTGAAGGGCTGGAGCCGAAAGTCTGCTCCGTGGGCATGATCCCCTGCACACCAATGGCCTGACCCGGGAAGGTATGTCGTGTCTCGTGTGTGATGTGCTTTAAATGTCTCTCCCGGGCTGCGCGGCCCCGGGCGGCTCTGTCTGATAAACAAGTGCAGCCGGCTTACTGCCCTTGAAGCTGGGGCAGGGTCCGAATGGGGGATTTACGTGTCATTGTTTGGAAGGCACTGCCCCTGCTCTCTTCCCGGGAAGCTGTAGCTCGGAGTAAGGACGGGTTACGGGAGAGAAAAGGCAGCCAGGAACAGGGTGTGCTTGAAGGATTCTCTGAGAAATTAAAACTTACAAAGAAAATCTGTCGCCCTCTGAAGAGAACATGGCAATCCTCTGCCAAATTAGGTCAAATGGAAGCCCGTCTCCTGAACTACAGGCTCCCTCTAAAATGGCCATCGAGAGACAATGCAGGGAAGTTACATTCTAGAGTGTCAGCGATGCTCTTCACACCAAGAGCTTTCCCAAAGTCCTTTTAGAACAAAACCTTCATCTGTAGCAGCTTTAGTAGCGCAGCCTTCCCTCCAAAACCCATCTGCCCAGATAGAGATAATGAGCTGAGAGCACGGGCGGTGTTAAGCATCGCCATGCGATGGAGACTACGGGGAGCATTCGCACAGATCACATGGGCGTGCGAGTTTGTGCACCGCACACACAGCAGATTTGCATGTTCCCGTGCCCATGAAAACAACTCTGAAACAAAGAAATCGCAATGGTGGCTGCAAATCCCCCATCTAAATTAGTGAGCTTAAATTTCAGGCAACAGACTGGTTCTCAGCGACCAAATATGTGAGGCTGCTCTTGGTGGTCATTTTTAAAGTGAAATTCAAAAACATAATATGAAAACACTTTGATAGAAACATATCCTTAAGTAGCACTACAAGGTCAAAAATTAAATATAATTCTAGCCACTGTGCCCTCAGGCTACCATACACAGGTAACAAACTACTGCCAAGCAGGTGTGGGCAGGGCGAGATACATCTAATAGACGGTCTTAGCAACAATCCTAGTGGTCGTAACAGCTCATGACTCAGGAACTCAAGGATATTTCTAAAATTTTTTAGAGGTCTAGCAAAGATCTTAATTTTTGCTCATTTTCACAGCAAAAGTCAATAACCTATTATTTCATCATCATCAAAGGCAAACATTTTGAAGACATGGAAGCATGCCATTCTAAAATTAAGATTTAACAATTTATCGGGAACTATTCTTCTTACATCCCAACATCAGCTCTCATTCATACCATTAATTTTTACTCCACTTAAGAATAAAATCAGATGGTATTAAAAAAAATATGGTTGTGAAAATCTCAAGTCTCGCTTAGGGGCTTTCTCTCTCAATGTTAAAAGCACCTACTAAACATTTTTATAAGCTAGATGTCTCAAAAGTGTAGAATTTTTTACTCAAACACCACTTAAATCTAGAACTGTTTCAACAGACTACAGATACCAATACTTTTAAAAGACCAATGATAAGAACAGTGTGTGTGTGTGTACGTGTGTATACGTGTGTGTATGTGTGTGTATGTGCGCGTGCCAACTGAACATTAGACAGTAACATTCTCTCCAAGAACTTCAACCCATAAGAGGCGCACACAGTCACAGCCCGGCAGTAGCACCCAATCACACGGGGGTGAATCAAAGCCCTCTGTGCTGGGATCGAAGCGCGCAGCTATTCACGTGCCGGACCATTGCAACCTTCTTGTCTCGTTCCCACTTTTTAAGAAATAAAATCCAACAGGCAGTCATTCAAGAACAATTGTACGATGTAATAAAAGGGTGCAATTTTACTTTTTTTTTTTAGTGGAAAAATTTTAATCAGAGAAACTTTTAATAAATGATTTTTAAGACTAGACACATACGCTTTTATCAATGAGAGACTAACAAATGGGTGTCTGATTTCAAGCCTGACCAGCTTAATATTTATAAACATACGGACACCATGAATTTAAATTCAGATGCACCTCCATCACCCACTGCTACTAAGCCATAGAGAACCGGAAGCCACGTATTTATGCTGGGTCACAACATGTAATACTTTGCGTTTTCTGTAACATTGAAATACTTCAGAGATACCACTTCAGGTGTATTTTCATAAAAACACCACAATTTATTACTCTATCTTCAGTCACTCCTTCAGTCCTTTATTCAAACATTCCTTCAAACAGCTGGCCTTGTATTTATTGCTTCTTAAGCTACCAAATCTAAACTTGTAAAGAGCTCTGTGATGGGGACTTCAATCACAATCCCATCATTGTTATGGCAACAGGAAGCTGACATGTTTCATCTAGCTGTGCAATATTTAAAATCCATTACCAAATAAATTTTAAAGGCAACTTCTGTTTCTTCTACATTTAAACCCACACCACTTCTAGCTACTGGCTTCTCTGTGGGATGGAGGAATCGTGACTGCTTATCAAACACTCCACTTGGAAAGGAAGCTTAGGAGGAGTTTCCCAGTGGGTGCAGGAAAGGAAGCATGCTTTCTAAGTCGGAACACTCAGCTCTGTTCTTTCCAGCTGAGCTCACCGCAGAACTGTTCTACAGGTAAAATGAAGAGCCTTGGTCTTCACTGTAGCCATGTAACATTCAAATTCACGTCAATAAACTCCAACAAATAGCACACTAGATTGTTTTTACACACCCCAAACTTAAAAAAATCACCATCTCACAAAATGATTAATTTTCCACATTTGAGAAACACTGTAACTCCTCAAAGCACCACCTAATTTCAGATCACTGAACTCATCCAAAGCTGGTGCCTATACTAGATCCCATTACGCTTTATTCAAATTCCCAGCTACTTGCACCCTCTAGTGGTTGTTACTAGAATAGAAATACTTTCATTCACATATATGTGTGCCTAACACTTTCAATCAGTATTTTCAAAGTACTTCACATTATATATGCTAATTCTGCTCTATAATTATTCAGTTATATAAGAACTTTGTTTTCCCCAAAATAATTACATTTCATGTCAGAGCTAAGCAAACTTGGTATTAATCACGAATCTCTCAACATCACAGGCTAATGAACGCACATGTATCTATGTATACAGATACATGTGTGTTCATTTCAAATAAAACTAATGGTCTTACTAGACTGTTTTTAATACATTAAATTTTTAATTGATTAGTTTTATTTTGCTTAAAGAAGTAATTTGCAAAATAAAAACTTGAAGAAAATTAAAATGACATATTAGTCTTCTACTGAAAGTTTTTTCTTTTACTAGAATTCAAGCTACAGCAGCTTTATCTACCGCCACCCCCATGCCCTGATCCAGAAAGACTAAGAGCAAGCTGAAACCATGAACAAATCTGTGCTTTCACGGAAACACTTTGATTGAAGATAACACAGCCAGTTCTTAAGATGCGGTGTCAGGAACCTCCCACAGTGACACCATAATCGTATTAAAAATCTAGGGCTCTAAATGTGGTGCTAGCAAGAGTCCTAAAAATGTAACAAATACTCAACATACAAATTTAGAACACAGAGTAACCTGAGGATCTCGAAAATGCATTTTGTGACGTTTGAAATTTTGAGTATTTGGATAAGATAGTAAGTAATACCTATATTTTGTAAGAAATCTGAAAAGACTGTTCAAAGTAGTTGTTTGATTCTAACATGGAGGCCACAGATAATTAATGACAACTAGTTGCTGCTTTTTTTTTTAAGTCAATCTTAAGTCTCAGTAAGGAAAATGATCTCCTAATACCTCATATTTGAAGTGCAAGGTTAAAATTAGGAAAGAGTGCTTGAAACTGCTCATCATTTAGTCCTTAAAATCCTGCACTGAAGTTACTGGAGCCTGAAAATTGATTCTGACAGGTGCATCTTCTCATTGAGTTTCTCAACACAGTGGGGGCGATGGACACATGCCAGGCAGCTCTGTGACTAACAGACTCGGCCATAACCGCGCCGTCTGCCCCACGAAATGATGCCTGGCCGTTTGACACTGAAGGCCGCTGACAGTGCACAGCCCAATAGCGTGTCAAGCCAATGCCAACGCACGCCAACACCTCCCCACCTGCCCCGAGGCTCACACGCCTGGCAGCACTCTGACACTGCCTTCCCTGCATGCACACACTGTTCAATCTTCCACTTGGGCCCAAGTGCACCTGGCCAGAGCCCCCGAGACAGTGAGTGGAAGTGACCCGCCCCCTTTCAGGTGCTCACCGCTGCCAAGGTGTGCTGCTAACGACGTTACTGAGGGAAAACAAGGCATGAGCTTGTCCCGGGCGATCTCTCCACAGCGCCTCGGCTCCCAGCTGCTCTGGTCTCAGTAGCCGCTCAGCCTCTTTCAGGCAGTTCGGGGACAGTGAGCATGTGGTAAACCCGTGCTTTCCCTCCACAGAATGACTGCCAGGAGACGCCGAGCCCGAACCGGAAGATGGTGACCAGGGAACAGCGCTGACTGCAGAGGAAGCCGTCCAGCCGCCTCCTCCCGGGGTGTCCAACATGCTCCAGTGGCGGCGGCGGCACTGCTGCTGGGCCAAGCGCTCCCTGTTCCGGGCCCCCCTCGTCGGGGCGCTCTCCCTGGCCTTCCTCTTTGCCATGTTCTTGTTCTTCCACCACCACGACTGGCTGCCAGGCAGAGCTGGATTAAAGGAGAACCCTGTGATCTACACTTTCCGAGGATTTCGCTCTACGAAAAGTGAGACCAACCACAGCTCTCTGCGGAACATCTGGAAAGAAACGGTCCCTCAAACGCTGAGGCCTCAAGCGGCCACCAACTCCAACGACACAGACCTGTCGCCGCAAGGAGTGACGGGGCTGGAGAACACCCTCCGTGCCAACGGGAGCCTTTACAGTGACAAGGGCACTGGACACCCACATTCTCACCACTTCAAGTATCTCATCAACGAGCCTGCCAAGTGCCAGGAGAAGAGCCCGTTTCTCATCCTGCTAATAGCTGCGGAGCCTGAGCAAACAGAGGCCAGGAGAGCGATTCGGCAAACGTGGGGCAACGAGAGTCTAGCCCCCGGCATCCACATCACACGGATTTTTCTGTTGGGCATAGTAAGTACTAATTTAAATGGCTACTTTCAACGCGCGATACTGGAAGAGAGCAGACAACATCACGACATAATCCAACAGGACTATTTAGATACATACTACAACCTGACCATTAAAACGCTAATGGGCATGAACTGGGTAACCACGTACTGCCCACACGCTTCGTACGTGATGAAAACGGACAGTGACATGTTTGTCAACACTGAATACCTAATACACAAGCTACTGAAGCCAGACCTGCCGCCCAGACATAACTACTTCACTGGCTACCTAATGAGAGGCTACGCGCCCAATCGAAACAAGGACAGCAAGTGGTACATGCCGCCAGACCTCTACCCGAGCGAGCGCTACCCCGTCTTCTGCTCGGGGACGGGCTACGTGTTCTCGGGAGACCTGGCCGAGAAGATATTTAAAGTCTCTCTCGGCATCCGCCGTTTGCACCTGGAGGACGTGTATGTCGGGATCTGTCTTGCCAAGCTGAGGATTGATCCTGTGCCGCCGCCCAATGAATTTGTGTTCAACCACTGGCGAGTTTCTTATTCCAGCTGTAAATACAGCCACCTAATTACCTCTCATCAGTTCCAGCCCAGTGAGCTGATAAAATACTGGAACCATTTACAACAAAATAAGCACAACGCGTGTGCCAACGCGGCCAAGGAAAAGGCAGGCAGGTATCGCCACCGTAAACTACACTAGAAAACACGAGACTTTTCTGTTCAAACGTGCAATCTGTAAAATAGTGCTAAAAGCATGTATAGTTAAAACGGATGATACCATAGGACAAGTTTTAGTTAAAACTCATCACATACAAGAATTCCAAAAATATTTTTTTAATTTATGAAGATGGTAATTCTTAAAAGTACATTATATAACAAAAAAGGTCTCCCGAGGGGATCTATAAAGAACTGTTTAAGGGGATTCTGTGTATTAACATGCAATAACAAGCATGCATATGTCAATGACTCAAGTCTCATGTTAGGGGCCAGTAAGATGTATTTGCCTATATTTTCCTCATGAATTTTGATTTAAGAAATGGAGACAGTCCAAAGACCCTTCATTTTAGATTCAGCATATAATTAAATGTAAATAAAACATCACTGTTAATTTTAAGAAGACTTTGTAATTGTGCAAACGACAAATTTTGTGACCTGACTACTCTAGGGATCTAAAAACTGTATTCCATGCAATAAGATTCAGTTGCATTATTCCAGAAACACATTTATAAAGTTCAGATGATTCATCAATGCAGTTCTCATCTAAGTACTTATTTAAAAAAAAAACAACAATGGAGATACTCATTTTCTTTTACTAAGACTCACATATATTGGGGGAAAGTCTTTTGACATGACGTGATAAAATGTGAAAAATCAATGTGTCTCAGGCTCAAGTTTTTATAAAAAGTAAAGGTTTCAAAGTCGACAGATGTGTTCTCTGGTTGGTGTGAGGGCCACGCTGGTACCTGAGTGAGCCACTGCACCAGCCGGCGACTGCGCTCTGCAGGAGTGCTTGCACTTCGCACACGCACATTCATAAAAATAGATCATGTCCCTCTCGCTGAGGCAGAGGTGATTACTTACAGGCACAAAGAGAATGTGCTGCTGGAAGCAGATAAAAGGTAAAGAGCGCACAGCCGCCCCATTCAATCCTTTTCTAAGATGCGTGCCTGCCAAGCGGCAGCATCTGGGACTTTACTTCCTGACAGCAGGTGTACACACGCCAACTCTTAATCACTCCATGGCACCTACTGCTCGCCGAGCGCCAAGTTTACAAACCTGCAGTTTTTAATCCGCTCGATGACAAACAGTGTGCATTACCTGTGAAAAGCCTTCTGGGGGAAGGGGAAACTACCCATGTTGGATGAAGACTTGATTCTAGGATGAACAATGTATACGATGCACTTTTATCAGGTTTTTAATAAAAAGGGTTAAAACATCTTTACTGAGTGTTGTGGTGCAAATATTTTTCACAGTGATTTTGGTTGGTTCCATTATACATTTTAAAATCAGGAAATACTAAACCTACTAGCTCTAAAATAGTGTTTCTATTTCACACAAGTAATTAAAACTTATTAATCTTAATTTCGTCAGGATGTTAGTTATCCTTATTCTAATAACGATCATTTTTACCTTCAACCTTCAATTCTGAAGATATTATATCGAAACAGAATTGTAACATTTGTAAATTTCAGAATCACAGAAACTGCACTTAGTATTTAAGATGCTAAGTACTTAGTATTTAAGATGAATTCTGTTTATAAACAATTTACAGCTCATTTTCAATTCAGTACTCGTTCCTATTCTACACAGAGTAACTCTGAATGCTGAGCTAGCTAATACCACGGGCTCTTAGCAAAATCTGTTTTTAATTTAATTTCATTTCCATGTTACACAAAGACTACCAGAGCACTAAGTAAAAGTCACACATAATAGGACAGTAATGCCAAAGTAGGTAAGTTTGATGAAAGGCAAAAGGAATCCTTCCATGAACATATGATTCCACTGATTTGGATATGGGCTCATCCACCTTGAGAGTAAATCTCTGCTTTCTACTCCTAAAGTTAAAAAAAGGTGCATGTGCGCGCGCGCGCAGTTGTGTGCATGCGCACAGGTATACGCGTGCAGGGTGTACACAAACAGACACCAGCACCATCTATCTAGTGTCTTCTAGGGTCCAAGTGCAGGATCTTTAAATTCTTAACAGACAACTAAATTCTTATCACAAGCATCAATTTAAAATCATTTCTATATCAATGTGATCTTGAAAACTAATGGTAACCGGACGACACTCTGAGGTCGCACAGAGCGCTGGACTAAATGATAAGGTTTCTGAGTGCTGCTCACATCCTTATTTTAAAGTTAACATCCTACTCTTCATTTATATTTGACCTTCCACTGTCAACAATATGCAAGCTGGTTTCCTCAGCAAAATATGAATTTCTACATTGTAATATTTTAAAATATTTAAACATGTCACCAAGTACTGTGCCTTACTCATGCCCAGCACTATGTAATTTTTAGTATACATGAGAATATAATTTTAAATAACAACACTGCATCAGGCCAAAGAAAAAAATTATAAAATAATCTTTATGCTCAGTGTTAATAGATACTTTAGAAGATAAAATACCAAAATCTTCAATATTTACACTAGTTTATTTTGATCAAGATTGTAAGTAATGAAATTCTAATTCAAATAAATCATTTAAACTTGTCACCTCTTACTATACAGCACACTCATATATAATCTCAACTGGAACATTACTAATATCTATTACCAAAAACCCCTATGAAACAGGGACAGGGCAGCAGGAGCTGTTTCCTGACGAGCATACAGCATGTGCCTGGGACTGTGTTAAAGCGCTTCACATGCATGGTCTTCACTGAACACCCGCCACACTGAGAAATAGTAACGTTTCTTTGTGGCGTAAGACTCCACTGATTTGGATATGGGCTCGTCCACCTTGTAAGTAAAGCAACACCTAAGCAACGACGAAGTATTATGGAAATATGGCCACCAGGGACAGACTCTAACCCCGCTCCGTCACCTTGGACTGTACAAGCTTGGGCTCACACACCATCTCTGAGAACTGCACCATGAACGGGGAAGCCATGGTCACAGCGCTGACGGCAAACTCACCAAAAGCCACCTCTGCTGTAAGGCCCTTGCTATCACAGCGCAGTCTAAGCAGGCGGATGCTGAAGATGAAGCAGGGAGGTCTAACTTTCCTCGCTGAGTTCAATGCAGGTGAAACTGCGGGCACCATTCCCAAAAGACCAGGCTCGCCCGGTTCCACTCCAGGGCCTCGCATCAGGCTGCAGGAACCCTGAGCCCGGGCCTGCTCAGAGCCGAGGGAGCAGCTGGAGGCACTCACTTCGTAAGCATGTACTGAGCTCCCCAAGCCCTGAGGTGTGAACTGCAGACACAACCAGGAGCAAGAATAAGCACACGTTGTGGAGATAACACTCCTTCCACAGAGCGCCCAGATCCCACCTTCGCGGACACAGAAAGGACAGCGGTGATGCCTGCATGAAGGCGTGGGGCAGGGGATCTCACCCAACCGTGTTCCCGGGGTCAGAAAAGCCCTGCCTGGGGTAATGCTCAAGCCAACATCTAGGAGATGCTCACTGGCAAAATGGGAGCAATCCAGGAAGAAGGAACCGGTACAACAACCCTGAGGTGGGAAAACCACGGCACAAGATCAGAGGGGAAGACTGGTATGAACTGATGCCAAAAGGTAAGAAGAGAGAGGGGCAGGTAAAACCCCATGAAGACTTGCAGCACGTGGTAAGAACGATGGTTTTTAACTCCAAGACTGATGGGGAGCCATTAAAAAACAAAAGGACTCGGAAAACAGAAAAAGGCAGAGGCTGGCTCACGCCTATGGCTTCCACCCGCCTAGGTTTGAGGCAAAGCCGCATGCAGAACAGATGAGGAGACATGAGTGGCGTGAGAAGGCGAGTTCTGAGACCGCTGTGCAACCAGGGAAGATGTGAGAAGTCTGGGCCGGGAAGGGGGCAGTGGCAGAGAGAGAAGGAATTCCAGAGATGGTGGGAAGGTCACCGGGAGGGTGACATCCAGACAGTGCAGGGGAGGGGAGGGAAGTAGTGGCAGGAATGACGCCGAGGACCCTGGCCGGCACTGAGGGGGTGGTACCATTTACCAAGAGAGAAAACCTGGAAGAACCTGACTCACTAGGGGCGATGTAATAAAGAGCCACCAGAAACACATAAAAGGACTGTCCGGTAGCACTGAGAACCGATAGATTATACAGCACCAGTAACAATAGCAATTTTAACTACTCTCTGCACATATGAAAGTATGGCAAGCAACTGGAAATATAACATATAATACGGGCTTAAGAGCCAGCCATTTGGCCCGGCCAATGTGGCTCAGTTGGTTGAGCGACTTCCATGCACTAGGACAGTGATGGCGAGCCTATGACACGCGAACTCATTTTTTTGGTTGATTTTTCTTTGTTAAATGGCATTTAAATATATAAAATAAATATCAAAAATCTAAGTCTTTGTTTTACTATGGTTGCAAATATCAAAAAATTTCTATATGTGACACAACATCAGAGTTAAGTTAGGGTTTTTCAAAATGCTGGCACGCCGAGCTCAAAAGGTTCACCATCACTGCACTAGGAGGTCCCAGGTTTGATTCCCAGTCAAGGCATATGCCCAGGTTGCGGGCTCAATTCCCACTAGGGGGCATGCAGGAGGAGTAGATCGATGTTTCGCCCTCACATCCATCTTTCTCTCCCTCTCTCTTCCTCCTCTGAAATAAATAAAAATGTATTTTTTGCCCTGGCTGGTTTGGCTCAGTGGATAGAGTGTTGGCCTGCAGACTGAAGGGTCCCAAGTTCGATTCCGGTCAAGGGCACATGCTCAGGTTGCAGGCTCGATTCCCAGTGTGAGGCGTGCCAGAGGCAGCCAATCAATGGTTCTCTCTCATCATTGATGTTTCTCTCTCCCTTTCCCTCTCCCTTTCTCTCTGAAATCAATAAAGAACATATTTTTAAAAATAAAATAAAACATTTTTTAAAAAAGAACCATTCATTTGATAAACACTTTTCAAGCAATGTGCCAAGTACTCTGTCCCCAGCGCTGGGCATACAGTGGGGGAAAGATGGAGTTCTTGCCTTCAGAGCCTCATTGTCAAAGGAACTCGTCAACGTAAATCAACAGACAAGAAGATCACCAGAAAGAAAAGCTGGGAGGCCTTGCCAAGAAAGTGACCTCTGAACTGAGATGCAAATGAGGAGGAGCCAGTCTTATTAAAAGAGAACTGATCCAGGCAAACAGACCTGTGAAGACAAAGGCCAGGAGGCGGAGAAGAACCTGACAAGCTGGTAGGAAACAGAAAAAGCCACTGAGACAGAACGGTGGCAATAGCCTCTCCTAAACCTTCACCTACAGCAGGGCACTGTGGACAGAATTCAGAGGGTCCCTGGTTTGGATGTGAAATTTAATTTCACCAGCCTCTAGCAGAAGTGAGCATTTCCATCCTTCGTGAATATAGGCAACAAATCGCAGAACTAGTAACAATGGCTGTGACTTTGTCATCAACAGACATCAGATATTTCCGTGTCACATTACAACTGTCACACAGGTCTTGAAATACTGAATACGCTCATGCTGTAAATTTCTGGCAATTATTAGATTTGACACTGGGTATTGTTATATAACGCATTAGTAAAGAAGTATAAACTACCATGTCATAAACTGGCATTTTTAAAATACCTTGGTAATATTATTTCATCACAGTTAGTTTTCTTTGCCATCTTTTGTACTTCGTGCGTTAAAAAACACTCAGCGAGAGGACC